CGCATACCAAATAATGGAACAACACTACGTAGGTTATTTAGGGTTGATTGTGCTGTCGCAACATCGGTATACAGCAAGGCTATATCCTCCGCATAATTACGAGCAACTAACTTTCCACCAGGCAGGACCCCAATGCAAACATTGTGAGGTTCCGTAAAGGAACACTCTATGATGGAGTCTACGACGAAAGTAAACAAAAAAATCGGGAAAATGGACAACCCTGGTGAACGCCAGTTATCTGAAAGCTATCCGACAGGGTGTCGCGTTCGCTGCACATGTGAATGATCCGGTTGAGCGGGAGAAGGTGAGTCATTTTCGCGAACTTCGACGGCAATCGACCCGAGAGCTCCGTCGCAATGAAAATGCATGGTGGGCGGAGAAGGCAGAACAGATAGAATGCCACTACAAACAACAGAAATACAAGGAATTTTTTGACTCCTTAAAGGCTGTGTGTGTACACACCTCGCAGCGGATGAGGACGCAGTTAGATGATACTATAGGCGCTGCCAGTATACAGACTGCAGATATAGTGCAGACCTCGTGAAAGCCCAGTGATTGTCTTTTGAACAACCGTTCAGAGATGGATTGGTCTATGTTGCACGGGATGCGACAGCAAGAGATGAACATTTGTCTTGCCGACATATGAACACTGGATGAGACGCAGACAGCACTTGCACAGCTGCGAAGTGGCCAGTATGCAGGAGCCAACGGCATGCCGCTTAATGCATGCACTGCACCACTTGGTGTGACGCGTGTGGATTGAAGAAGAAGTACCGGGTGACCTGAAGGATGCCTTCGTTGTATCACTGTACAAAGGCAAATGAAGCATGAAATGTTGCACGAATTATCGTAGTGTCAATATGCCCGAATCCTTCTCAAAAGCCTCGTCACTCAAGTCGCTGAACCGAACGTGGTAGAGGAGCAATGTGGGCTCCGCTCGCACCGCAGCTATGGTGTTTGCAGCTCGCCAGTTGAAGGAGAAATGCAGAGAATGACACCAGTCGTTGTACTCGTTTTTTGTTGATTTCACCAAGGCATTTGATACGGTGAACCGCGAGACACTACGGCTAGTGTTGGATAAGGTTGGTTTGCAAATTTTATTGAATACCTGCATAGTGATATGCAGGCGAGGGTGTAGCTAAGTGGACAAACCTCGGATGACTTTGCAGTTGTCTCTGGCGTGAAGTAGTTCTGTCTACTAGCCAATGTCCTGTGAACATTCATCTCCAGGCAATGATGTCCTGTGCTTTTGATACTGCTTGTGCTTACGGTGTTCGTGGTGGATTGTTGAACATCCATCATTTCGGAGCGAGAACCCGAGTGAGACAACTATCCGTATGTTGATGTTTGCAGACGACTGTGCGTGGTTTGCGCATAGCGCGGATGAGTTGCAGCACATTACTTCGGCTCTCGCTTCGACAGCGGCCAGATGCGGGCTCACGATCAACACAAACCAAACTGTCTGTCTCTTACAGCCTACTCTAAAAATGGAATCCGTAGGCTTGCGGCAAATTCATAGTGGTGCTGAATACTGAAAATAGAGAGCGAGAAGATATAAATTTGTGTTGCTCCTTCGTAGTTAAATCGGGCACCTGCGCAGAATCACGTCGCTGATTCCTGCGCGGTGACAGCATATTACGGCTGCACCACGAATTATCCGAGTGTGATACACTCCCTATACCTGTAGTACGCAAAGTGGGCGTCAAGGAATCTCTTAAATACCGAGACCGATTTCGCTTCGACAGTTGTATCCGGCAACTTGCTCCAATATTTCACCACTCAACGCTCGAAGTATAGAGGGTGAGCGATATGCTTCAACTACGGTACCACCAGTTTGTACCGGTGTCTGCCTGTGCTGCCTGGTGCGCGGACGTGCAGCAGCGGCCTCAACATAGGAAAGTGGCCCAGGTACAATATCCGGTGCCTCATTATGAGATAAACTCGAAGCCGACGGTATGACAGGGTATACAGTTATAGTCACCTACATCGGTCTTCGTTCGAGACCCGTAAACTTGGGATGACCCGCGTAGATACATGCTGAACCCGTTGCAGTCTCTGCACCTCAGCTATAGTGATCGGACAATAAGCGGGTGAGCCGTACTTGAGCACCGGTCTTATCAAGGAAGAGAACAGGCGGGTTGCAATCTCTTCAGACCAAGTGCGGAAGCTGCGTTAAAGTGCCCCAAGCATGCGGAGTCCGTTTCGGCACAGTTTGTTCGTGTTGTCGACTGACTTCAGATCACAGCGTAAGAGTACACCTAGATCCTTTACGGAGTTTGTAGGATGCAGCGGTCCGCCGGATATGGTGTACATACGCCCATTACCATCCTTCTCCAGACTCATAAATGACGACTTGACCGGGTTGACCGGCAGACCAACTTCTGCAGACCACAGCGACAGGCGGTCGAGATCCTGCTGAAGGACGTCACAGTCCTCGGATGAATCAATAATCCTCCAAATCTTCAGGTCATCTACAAACAATGTGCAGGGAGAACGAAGAAGCTGAGGTACTTCGTTGATGTGGATCAGGAACAAAATGGACCCCAGTACTGTGCCTTGGGGTACGCCGCAAGTGGACGGGCACCATTCCGTTAGATGGTCATCCACCTGTGCCCGCAATTATCTCCCAATGAGGAAGTCACTGATCCGCTGGTGTAATGCGCCACCAAAACCACACACCCTCAACTTTGGAGGAGGACATCATGGTTCACTTTATCGAAAGCTTTACTGAAATGAACGTAGATAACAGTTACTGATTTCCCCCGGTTCAACGCCTGCACCCATCCGTGCCGCGTCAAAAGCAGGTTGGTGATGTTTGGGAAATCATCTCGATCTTCTGCTACCAAGGTAGTGTACTTTCGACCAATATGCAGATGATGAGCGAGCTACGTGTCCGCGTATCGAAAGCAGCTGCTGCGTTTGGAAAGTTGGAACAGCGTGTGTGGAACAACCATCAACTTACCGTTGGAACGAAGCTGATGGGATACGAGGCTACGGTGCTGTCCATTCTTCTATGCGGCAGCGAAACCTGAACAATGCACCGGAAGGATGTTAGGTATCTGCAGCGGTTTCATTAACAGTGTCTGCGACGGATTCTGCGCATCGGTGGGCGCTACTGAGTTGCAAACACGAGTGCTGTGCCGCAGTGGCATGTATGCAGCGGGCTGTGTACTTCTGCTGCGGCATCCGAGGTGGATCGCGCATATCAACCGTATGATTTCGACGCGGACACTCAAACAGCCCTTAGGTGGACAATTTAGTGCAGGGGAGCGGCACATGGGAAACCGGTTACGTAACCACGACATGATCAAGGTGTTTATCACGAATTAATATTGATTTCACGATGGGAAGTGATGGCAGATGATCCGTGAAGACGGCCTGACCTAATCAAGAGGGCGGTTGACCAGATGCAGCAGAAAGCACCACTACATACGGAAGAAAAACGCCGAGTACGGAAGCCGCAGGCGCCGATGGAAGGTGGTCCATCTACGTCGAGTGCATTGTTCTGTAGGACATGTGCTCGCCAGTGTTTCAGTCAAGATGACTAAGTAAGCCATCAGCGTCGCCACGAGGGGCTAACATCTAAGAGAAGACGAGTAAGCTAAATATGTGATCATCAACAACGCAGCGATTGGTAAGTACGCTGTTTCCGGCTCAATTCCACTTACTAATCCAGGGCAATAATGCGGTTAATGAAGTATGTGTGCTACACCATCACTGCAGTTGGTCTTTACATGTGCCTGCGTGTTGATTTTTTTTCATTTCAGGGGTTGGTTGTCGAGTGATAATCCCGGGGTGGCTGCGCTTGATGTGTAGGTTGACAAGGTGTTTACCTGTCTAATACTCTCTACCTCGATTACTGGTTCCAGGAACTGTGAATCGTTGCTGAGGGGGCGGGTGCACCTACCTGATGACCCTGCTCTGTTGATGAAGTGTGGCACTCATCCACATGCCTCCCGGTCTTATTCCTTCTGGTTTACACTAGATGTGGGGTGCGTGGATGGGGCTATGGGCGGTGCAGCGTAGCCCCCATGGTCGCTCTGTTGGTGCATACGTCATGTGGCAGACCAGATGGAGACCACAGTGACAGGCAAATCCGGAAACGAATGCCATATATATATATATATACGCAGATACATTGCAGGGAACCGGGATCGGAGCGTCATAAAGGCAGCGATGGACAATCTGCTATTTTTGGTGGTTGGGTAAAAGCAAACCTGATATGGAACTTGAACTTTTTTGTCGAACATGCTATCTGTGACGGCTTGCTGTTCAGGGATAAATGCGCTTGATTCCATCCCCGTTCCGTAGAGTTATGATAGAAGGAACTCCGCAAACCCTCTTGGAGGTCAACTGCAATAGTATCCGAGATCTATGACTGATACCCTGGTTAGCAATGATCAAGCAAATTTGTAACTACTTAATCACGGAACATTAAAGCAAGTTGCTTGGCAATGATAGTTTCCGTTAATCATCTCCTAATCGAGTGGTTCCAGCCACTGCTTCGAAAGCGAATGATCTCGCTTATCGATCACCCAATGCTGTCGCTGACTGACTGAATGGGGTTGTGGCGAAGCGTCCTTTAAACTAGTTCATCATCGAAGAGTGATCAACGCAAAGAATCAATAATGGTACGGTCATCTTCTTGAGCGACTAACAGGTTTGATGCAGAGAAAGGAGGTCAAACTCCCCAATGGTGGAACAACGTCCGACTCAACTAAGACCACCATCTAACGAGAAGGCATTAACAAGCAAGCATAGAAAACAAATAAGGAGGACAGCTATCGTAAATTGAGGAAGTTAAATTTCAGCTAAAGGAGGAGCAAAGTGGGAAGTGTAAGGGAGGCATAGTCACCAGTAGGGACACGAAAAAAGATAGGGTTTATGGACGACAATCTAATAAATAGCGTGCGATCGAGCAACACAAGAGCGTAGTCCTGGTGTATCAAAAGCATATAAGTGGATGTTTTAAGAAAGGAATCCATACCAACTAGACTCACCACAAGTGGGGGGTGAAGGGGATAAAGAGACGCGGAAATTCGATGCAGCCATGTTCGGTGAGGAATCCGCACTGTGAAAAGGGCCTGCTGCAGCACCAACAACGGAAACAGAGCTAGATGGGCCAAAAGACGGGTTTGAGTGGGTTAGTCACAACAAGTCAGTTGAACTATCCCAGTAAACAAATAATAGGAGCAGTAGGATACCATTGCATGATTTTTAGTCACTATGCGTGCATGAAATTGAATGTGAATCGGCATGTGGAGAGACAAAGTTAGCGCAACACGCTAGCAGCCGCGCCATGTACAAGCAGTTGCAAAATGATGGCGCGGAAGGCCAGTTGTGTTGCTTGCGAGGCCGCTCTCAGGAGGACAACATACAATGATATCGAGGTAAGAAAACCATAGCCTATACATGAGCTGGAAAAGATGGGAACAATAAGGGATGTATAGATAACAAAGCGCCCGTCTACCGAAAAGCTTTATGGTAGATGTCTGGTAACAGACACAATAGGAAGACATCAGGGTTGAATGCCACAAAATCAAAAATAATAGACCGCCTAGGTCAAACTAAAATCCCACTCCGATCGAAGGATGTGGCAGGGTGCGTAACTGGCCTCAAGTAAGCCGAAACAGCTTGTCCTTAAGTACTAATGTGCCCGATCGAGTCAGGGTCAGTTTCACTGAAAAAGTGCACAGCCGGAATATTTTCAATAGGTGCCCTAGGTGACCCGGATACAGCGGCCGCGGAACGAATAGGTGACAAAATAATGCACTTTAGTACAGGAGGGTGGCGGTGAAACCGCTGACTAAAACTGACAACCTCAAATGACGCAAAAGGTGGAAAGGGCTACATAGACTCACATCCCTACCTCATCGAGCAGTGTCTCCACATCAACGCTCCAAATTGATGGTAGATGACGTAGACTCCCGTAACCCATGCAGATGGGCATGAGGTATTAAAATTTGATCGCTAAACGATAAATACGCGGCCGCAGATTTTGCAGTTGAATTCAATGATTAATACTCTTTCACGCACACCCTACAAAGTTTGCTTCTCTACCGTACCGAAAAATGCAGTCAGCACCGACGTCCAAATGTCAGACTAAAGTGGAGAATCTCGAAAGGAAAATAGTGCTGCCACATATCGCCACAAGCCACGTGAACTGAGGTCACATCTGATCAGTGTAGACTAGGTTTCCGATACGATCTTGTCTATCTCTCCCACGACTACCATGACGACAATAGTGGGAACTCTCAGAAAACGTTTCTCCCGGAGTAGAAGTGCACTGGATCAGTGGAATCGCATGATCCCATCTCAACTGTTTGTTGAATATAAATCCATGCTGTCTTCTCAGCGAGTAGAGCAGCGAAACACAGTCGGCAAGGAAAAAGTGGTCACACTTTGGAACGGGCAATTGTGGCTACGAGGGTGATGATGGTACATGCAACGAACCTAAAGGACCGGAAATAGAGAGGAAGATGCCAAATTGCAACACCCAAAAGGACTCAAATAACAACACGAGTCGGATTGCCCGGTTGTTGTACCGACGAAGACGACCGACCTCAACCGTAAACCTTTACATCAACAGCATGTCCGCAGTGCAAGTTATCACGCGAGGTCAAAAGAAGGAAAAAGAACAAAGAATATGCTGTGTCATGTATCCCTGTATTATGAGTACCGGTAAAGTGCTCACTATTCTTCCGGCCTGCAAGTAAACCTTTACAGGCGCAGTAACGACAAAGCTGTAGCACAGCCAGCGAGCCGATGACATACCGGACGACTATGATCAATGAGGCCTAGTGAATTTGTGTATAAATCTTGCGGAAGTACAGCATGACTAAGGATGAAGTTCGTCAACTTGCGTCAGACAACAGAGCCTTGGGCATCGCACTGAATCACATATCGTACTCAAAACGCCTTGTTGGCTACGCCTTGTGCTTTGCGTGCTTCACCGGCTACCACAGGAGCATATGCTGTGTACCAATACTGTGGCGGCGAGCGAAAGGATTACACACCCGTCTGAAAATCCGGTCACCGGTCCGAATCCGCCGCGAAGCTCAGATAACCCTAAGCGATGACCTGGCAAGTGTTCATTAAGGAACTGAGGGGCTTGGTCGTGTTGTCATGTTTCTGATACCCGAGTGTGGGTTCTGAAATCAATCACGACCTTGGGTGGAAGCCCAAATTGTACGCGTCCGAAATCAGGGGTGCTCCGGAGTCCACCACTTTGTTTCCCACTCTTAACTCCTTCACCAGATAATGGTACTCGTTCATTTGCTCTGCTGTTGTTGGAGTATCCGCCACGCATCATTTTTACAAAATCATCTTTTCACTCATATTATGTTGATAGTGGTCAGCGCAAACCTCGGCACGTGGACCACGTTTGAACAATTGAGCAAACTGAACTTTTGAACGTGAAGCACATTAGTGCTACCTACGTGCAACCCTACAAAAAGCAAAGGGAAATCTGGATAGTGATTAAGAATGCGTTATTCATGAACGGTAGGACTACTTACGTTACACATGAGACTGAGGTTGTTAGTTCCGGTTACACGTCTAATGGAGCCCGCGCGCAACGCTCAGCTGTTGAATTCAATCCAGTCTAAAGTCACTTGGAGCTTGATTCGTGCAACACCGTACCAGTATTGCGCTGTTCATTTGGCCAATGAAAAAATGGACAACTCGATTGGCTTGCCTTTCACTGCTCCCTTGTCGGTTCCATTCACTCAAGCTATTGACTACGGCTATCACAAATGCCAGATTGAAATCATCAAGAAATGATTGTGCTAAGGACCAGTTATGTTGGTACTGATGAGATTTTCACTAGGAGCATATGGAAAGCAGCACGGCCCCGTGGACCACGAACGAATGATCAGGGCACAACAACGAGGTATTCGAGTGGCATAACCAAAACGAGGAGAGGGAGATTAAGCTTACGCTTTAGGTTTTAATGTTGATTTCGCTGATGTCCGCAGTTTCCAAGAGCCTGAGGAAGGGTGAGCGTCTCGTGTATAGAAGATTCTACTGGAACGTTTGAAACTCCGGTGAAGATGCTGGTGTGCAAAAATGAGAACAACGCAAGGCAGTAGAAGCAGGGATATGCAAATAAATTAAAGAAAGTTGATTCTCAACTACGCGAAGCCCGTTACCACAAGCATGATCAAGCAAGCAGATAACAAGTGACCGGGGGATACACAAAAACAGGCTTGCCGTAACAATGGAACTATGAATGTAAGTGCGTGTGTACCTGTGTGGCTTGTAAATGTGCCGCTGCACTTTTGACTGTGTTTAACGGAGACGCCAGGGTGAGAACGAATGACTGACATCCGTGGATTAGACATGATTATCCGGATAAGCAAGGGGCTGTGGATATAGTTTATGGCGAGCCACAGCCGCCATGTCGCAGCGTTGTTAAACAGACATATGGAGATGTTTATAGGGAGAGGGCTTGTCAAGCGAAAATCCACAACGTCCTGGAACACTGCCGCCGAAATATTTACTGGAACGGTGTAAACCCTAACCACACAGCTGGCACCACGCAGGCGTTGTTCGGCTAGCCAGCGACAGATGAGATGAGTACGCGCTTAGATCGGATATAAGAACGAGATGAGAGAAATGCGTTTGGCCCTTGGATGCCAAGCCCAACGCGTGAACGAGGTTCAGGTACTGTAGGCATAGTGTGGCGGACCGGCTGAATTGCATACAAGACAGCAAGAAGCAAATTCAGGAGGTCCATGGGAGGGAAACTGGAGCGTAATTGGAAAGAATTGTGGTTTAACGTCATACTGATCCTCTATGCAACATGTAAACACTGGAAATGGGAAAAGTTCAGGACCTGAAAATAGCGCGGATTGTGGAGTTTCGTCATATGAACCCAAGGGGGAAAAACTACGACAAAGGTCAAAAGTGAATATCCACTAATACACAGAAACAAAAATAACGAAATGATACCGACAGACAGTTGAAAGATCCAATTCTAATGTATGACGGCGTTAAACAGTGCAGCTACGTTCAGTCAAGTAACAAAGCGCACCTGACCGTGATTCAATCAATTACTCAGCCTCACTTTAGTAGGGCACTAATTTTTACACAACAAAAACATAAATAATAAGACAACAAATTGAAAAACAGATTCAAAGATGCACCATCTAAATTAAAGTTGATGTCAATCTCTTTGTACCGCAGAATGATCGCTGGGAGCTACGGAAAAAAAACACTTCCACTGATTTTAAGCAAGAAAAAAATTGTTACAGGGCCGGCACCGCTCTGCAAAACTCACCCGGGTTTCACAGGTGCCAGTACACTAAAAGTCGCTATACAGAGACCCAAACTACCCAGTTCCGAGAGGAGTTTGCCCTACGGAAACTGCCGCCAAGGGCTCACTCTTTTGTACAAATCACAACGGAGATGTCCTCAGTGAGAACGCGGTCAAAGTATCCCGCATAGTTTCGAGTGAACTCACCATAGTCTCAATATCGTATCTATAGGACACTTTTCAAGTCAGCTATCTGTCTGCTGAGTCGTGTTCATGCTAATGCCTTAACCACCGACCACACTAAAACAACTGTGCTGTGCCCAACATCTCAACAGCATCGAACCCACCCCAGCACTGCCCAAAGATAGGACCACTACATGGCAACTAATGTGTCAACAAACATACGCCTTCCCTTACAGTTTCTACAAATACCACTGTTTTAATGAACTATAAATATGAGGGTGTAGAAAGCACGGTTGACTTGGTTGAGTCAGTAAACGCACTCTTACTATTGGCCAATCTTACTTCTGCGGGTCTCGGTACAGTTGTGCGGCGTTACGCGTTCCTTCTGCCTTATCAGTTGCACGTTCACGTCTGCCGGCTAAGTCCACTAGCCGTTAAAATATAAATCGTCTAAACAACTCTGCGCATGGGAACCAATGAGTGGAAGAGTTCGTCCGTTCCGACTAGGATTGACGAAACCAAACCAGGAGGTTTGTAATAGAAATGCAGTCTGAAAAGTCATCTTTGGAAACCGATGTTTGCACAAAGTTTACCCGTATAATGTTGATCTCGATAATAATAAGTTATCGGATTTCCATAATGCCAGGAAGGAGATTCTCTATGCAAACAAGTTTGAAGATTTTACACTCTGGAACGAAGATGTGCGCAAAGCTGTCACGATGGTTAGCAAGTTAAACAATCTACGCCAATTGAAAATAATAAGTTAACTAAGAGCCAGGCAAAAAAACTAAAACTTATACAACCGTTGCTAAAAAAGTGAACCAGTCATTTTCTGAGGAATGTTGACCAAAGGAAAGAGTCTGGTTTTAAATATACCTACTGTTTACAAAGTAGACGATATTATACAAACACCTAGAGTAATCCTGGTCTAAGGTATAAGACTCCAACTGCTGAGTGCAGAACACTGCCCCACTGGTCCTCCGTCTATCTGATTCATCTGACATTAAATGGTTTATTCTCCTAACGTCAGACTCTGAGACGGCTCATGCCATTTATTGAGCAAGCGTTTACATAACCGGAAAACAACATAGCAAAGCCTGAATGATTAACGAAATACCCCGTAGCACCTGCCGCTCCACGTAGTCTTACCGGTCCCTAACACGTGCAACCACAAACAGAGCATATTTTGGCAACGGCTGCAACCTAACGCTGCCATCCCTAGTGCCCAGCCTTGCCAGTCTAGTGGATAATATTCTTTTTCAACCAACTTCCAAATCTAACAGTTATGCCAGTCGTACTGCGGCTTCAGTATCCCGAGGTTTCCACCCACCACCCATAGCTAACCATACATGCAGCAGTAATACCATACCCCTTTTTATCAATGAAGTCCTAACTCTGTCATACTAGCAAAGCGCTGTGAAGTTGCTCCCTATAAATGCTCATTAGCTAAATAATAAAACACCCTCCGCGTCATGTGATTACTCTCGCAACTCCTGATTTGCTACCCATAACTGAAACCTAGCATGACCCCCACACTCCAAATGAGTTCTACCAAATAGTGGTCTATTCATCATTCATGAACAGCCGACACGTTGGTAAGGGGGGCGAGTGCGCTATTAATGTTCAGAACCCGCTACCTACTTATTCAATAGTAGACCCGAAACTCAATACCATAAATGAATTCGTGTGGGGCTCTATAGAAATCAATTGGTCTCTAAATTTGGTCAGATGAATTTACAATGCATCTCGTTATGATGTCTTACAGTGCACATTACTTCCGAGTTTGAATTTGCTTCTAAACTACCGTGCATTCAAAAGGTAATCCGGGGTGAATTTTATTTACAAAAATTTCATGGACAAAGTATTCAGCATCAACAAGGCAGTTGTGCTTCATTTCTGAAGTCCGGGCCATAGGATGGATACAGTACAGCATAAACCTACCAGGGAAAATGACATTTTAAATCTTAATTTTGTCTAAGATGTACACCCCACATGTGCCGATGTATCACTTCGTTTCCAAGGTAGTGAGCATAGAGTTGCGTACCACAGTTTCGTGGCACCCGATCCGATCCCACACTGTAACACTACTAACAGAGCCCTGTAGGAACTTTAGAAATGGAAACTTGGATACACACGCTATAGTGCTGTGAGAAGCGAACTGAGATTTTTGCTTTCTCACCAGAGATCCACAGAATGTTGCAGAGGAAACAAATATCTAACGCTGTCTTCATGTCCTTGCTCCACTCGTACTGAGATCCGAAGGTTTCCACGAAAACTACGCGTGGAGTATGCCTACTGCGTAAGCTGAAAATAAATCGCTCAAAAATAACACAGACTTGCGATTTCTCCTTGCTTGTCACACAGGATAAGCTCTTTGACCAGTTGCAATTGATTCGTGAAGCAAGACTACTAACAGAGGAGAAGCGAGCATTGACAAATGACAACAAAGCTAAAGCTTTGGTCAAGCTACTGAAGGTCAGAAACGACAGTCAAACGAAATCGGTAATATGCATCGCACTACCTGACAAATCCATGACCCGGGACCCCAACATAATAGGGAACGTAATGAATGAACACTTTTCCACTTTGGTTACTACCTCAAGCAACACACTTAGGAGTAGCGCTCCTACTGATGTTGGCAAACTCAGCACAGTGCATTTCGATTGCGGCGTCATTCAAGCTCACATTGATCGGTTACGGTCGTCGTTCCATCCTGGAACTGATGGTCCAGCAACTTCTCTAATACAGTTTGGTGTCTGGGAGATATCGCTCTTGCTTCTAAACTTGTTTACCCTATCTATGAATTCGGGTATATTCCCGAATCAATGGAAACTCGCTATTATAGAACCTAGACATAAGAATGGTTCAAAACTAGACATAAAAAATTACCGTCCAATTAGCCAAACCCCGGTTATTTCGAGAATAATGGAAAACATTGGGAAAGAGAAAACTGTTATGCACTTGCTGTTACTGGATTTGGTAAGTCCAGCACAACATGGGTTTTTGAAAAGACGGTTATGCCAGAATTGTCAGCTGGTCTCTATAAATAATCTGATAAGCTCTACTGACAATGGCAAAGCGGATATCATTCTCGTTATTGGATATGCAGTACGCGTTCGACAGAGTGAAGCACAACAACCTCTTGGTGAAGTTAACCAATTTCGGGATCACTGATCCCTTGCACGCATGGTTCAAATCTTACCACTCTGATCGCACGAAACGAGTACAAATAGGGCGCATGAAATAATCACCACTGAAGATCCACAATGATGTCAATCAGAGTAGTGTACTATGTACGTTGCTCTTCATATGTATATCAATGATGATGCAGCAGTAACAGTAAAATTTGGGACATAATGTATCTTTGCGGATGACACAAAATACCATACCCCTTTGGAATCCGGTGTTTGGGCAATACCCTTAAAAAAAGGTTCGCATAGACCTGCTGGCCTAGGAATCGTGGTGCACCGATTGGCAAAGTCCATCTCAGCGGATAAACGCAGTGTGCTGACATACAACCGCGAACTTTCGTCAAATGAATTTTACCTCGAAAAACCCATCCCCAGTAAGAAGAGTACACAACGTCTAGGAATTCGGTACTCTAACAATTTGCAT